GGGAGTTCGGGCGAGGGTGGCAAGGTCAAGGTTGGGTCGCCAGGTTTAGGGCGTCAACGCCAGGGCGGTCGGGTTCGAGCGTTCGGTATCGAGCGTTCGGGTCAGGGCTGCGGCGTCAGGGTCAGGGCGTCAAGGCATGTCCTTTCGGTTAGGGTTAGGGCGTCAGGGTTTGGGCGTCAAGGCGAGGGTGTCATGGTCAGGGCTCGTGCCCAACATGTTATGACGTTCGGCTTCGGACCAGGGTGCTAGGTTCCGAATGTTAGGTTAATCGGGTAACGGCGTTCGCTTTTGGGTGAAAGGGTGTCATGGCTTTGGGTGTTAGGGCTCAGGTTAGGGCGTTGAGGTTAGGGTGGTGGCATGAAGGCGTTAGGCCCAGGGTGTTCGGGTTGCGGCGTTAGGGCGAATGCGCGATGGGCAGGCGTGCGAGACGGGCCGCTGGGATCAAGGTTACTGGCTCGGCATGGGTCGTTCGGATGAAGTCTGGGGCGCTAAGGCACACTTAGGTGTCAACGCGAGGGCCAAGGCGTTCAGCTCAAAGTGGTAGGGCTTGGGCGCAGGCTTCAGGGCGACGGCGAGGGCGTCAGGTTTAGGATGCTAGGGTCGGGGCGTTCGCGCCGTGGCGGTTGGCTCAGGGCTGGGGCGTTCGGGTTAGTGTGCCACGGTTCGGGCGTTAGGGTTCGACCAGGGCCTTCGGGTTAGAGCGTTCGGGCTAGGCTGCTGGGGGCTAGGATCCGGACGATGGATTGACGACGTCAGAGTGAGGATGCTGGAGTTAGGGCACCAAGACGGTTCAAAAGGTTATGCCTGCGCAGCGCGCTCATTCATCGCTCTTTTGCTCTCGGCAGGCGCACTCGCGCAATCTCACAAGCTGCGCTGACATCCTCAGAAGCTGCATGCTATTGCGTTCCAGGTGCTCGGGTTAGGGCGTTGTGGTTTGGGCGTCAGGATCAGGGTGAGTGGATTAGAGTTGACGCATTAGGTAAAGGTTCGCGCTGAGAGGCAGGCTGTCAGTTTCAGGGTCAGGGTGCTCGGACAAGGCGTTGGGGCGATGGGCTCGGGCGTGCAGATTAGGACAGTAAGGCTACGCCTGAGGCGTCAGGGTTAGAGCGCGGGCGTCAGAACTTGCGCGCGAGGGTTACGACGCAAGGTTTCGCGTTTTAGGCTTACGGTTCGGGCGCGAAGTTCAGGGCGTTAGGGTCGGGGCGTCGGGTCAGGACGTTCAGGCCAGGGGCTGGGATTCAAGGGTCCCAGTGTCAGAGTTAACGCTCTGAGGCTCTTGTGGCAGGGTTCGCATGCGTCCCCCCGCCCAATTCGGCACACCCCTCCGGAGCTCCACCGAAAGCTCTCGTGGCAGTGTTCACATGCATCCCCCCGCCCATTCCAGCACACCCCTCACACGATTCGTGGCCCCACAAGGAGCTCCACCGCAGGCTCCTGTAGCAGGGTTCGCACGCGTCCCCCGCTCATTCTGGCACACCCCTCGCGCGTTTCGTTGCCCCATAGGGAGCTCCACCGAAGGCTCTTTTGGCAGGCTTCGCACGCATCCCCCAGCCCATTTCGGCGCACCCCTCGGGAGCTTCACTGAAGGGCGCACCATTGACACGGTTCTTGTTCCCAGAAGTAGCTCACCCCTAATACGTCCCACCTCCATTGCGGTACTTACACTTGCAGATGGTCGGGCCTTTCGCCAGGATAACTTGACCCAAGATGGCATCAAGATGGTCCCAGATAGCCAAGGGTGGCCTCCGAGATCGACTCGCCCTTTCGCCCCTGACGTCAAGATGGCTCCAAGATCGCCCACGAAGAGCCCAAGAGGCGCCCAAGAGGGCTCCAAGACGGCCCCAAGAGCGCCTTAAGAGCGCCCCAAGAGCGTCTCGGGAGGGCCCCGAGAGACATTTTGTCAGCCTCCGACGAGGGGGACTGACATTAGGACCCCCTCCCTTCTTTGATAGAGGAGGAGGAGGAGGAGGAGGAGGAGGAGGAGGAGGAGGAGGAGGAGGAGGAGGAGGTGGCCTTCAAGATGGACACGCCCCCGCGAGGGCCCCACGGAAGCCCCAAGAGGGCCCCAAGAGAGGGCCCCACGAGAGCCCCGAAGAAGGCTTCCAACGTCGCCCCAGAGATGGCTCCAAGAGGCTCCCCGAGGTCGCCAACTTCACAATCGGTGAGCGTTTTCTGATTCGGCATTTCGACATTGGGCGGAAGGAGGAGAGGGGGGGTTCTGGCTCTGGACCTCTGAGTAATGCGACTGCTTGCAACGGTGCGTCCTATGGGGGAGACTCCACTTGCTTGAAACAGACGCCAGAAACAGCCAACACCTACTCCACGGGCGGGGAGGGGGGGAGGGTGCGAGGTCCCGCGCCGATAGGCAAAACAATGAATAAGAAAACGATCACTTGTTGGCATCCCTGCTTCAATGTATGACTATCTGCGCCCCATCATCTTGACATCTCCACTAGGCATCGTTTCTGGCTGGGCTGGCGAGGACACGCGAAGCGCCAGGAACTCGAACGATGCCCGCAGCCGGGTGGCCCCCCGCGGGGAGGTCCGATCCCCCAGCGTCGACTGGAAGGGTTCGCAAGTGCTGGGTCACACGGAAGGGGGGGTTCGCAAAGGGGGGGCTGGCGAATCAGCTCACGCAGCTGATTTCCCTGGCGCATCCCGGCGCTGGAGGCGCCAACGTATCGAGGAAAGCGCCTGGCGGTGGGGACGAAACCAGCTGCATGTGGCAGACTTCGTACCCCCCCTTTCCCTACAGTCGGCCCTAGGAGTAAAGAATATCCTTCAAGAACACGAGATCCTCCGCCGGCCAAAATGAAGAGTAGTCGAGGGTACCCTCCCCCAAGAGGTACAAGAACATCCAACACACGAAGAACATTAGAGCACCCTCCCCGAAACGAACACGATCTTATACCCGGGTCCGACTGTATCCCCCCAGCCTTCTGAAAAGTGTTCTAAGCCCTCCCCGAAGGCACAACCAAGAACCTCTCAGAAGGCCGGAGGCCTTCTGAGAAGCCCCCTCCTCCTTCTCATTTCCCCCCCTCGCTCGCCGCTGAGATTTCGTCACCCCCCATTTCCCTATCCTATGGTCGGGCTGTCCTCCTACAGGCGGCTTTGGAGAAACATCCAGAATTGTCCAAATATTAGAAAATAATCCAGAAAAGAACGAGGATCGTCCCCTGACTGTGTGAAAATATTCCTCTTGTGGAGCGACATGCCCGACTCAACCTTATCCGCCCCCTTTGGGTCCGACCCGAGTGGTCGGGGACGCCGCGCTTGCCAGGCGCTCGTCGCCCCTGGGGGGGCGACGCACAGATAGTGTATAAGCATGTTGGGGTGAGGAGTAGGAGGAGGAGGAGGAGGAGGAGGAGGAGGAGGAGGAGGAGGCGGAGGAAGAGGAGGAGGAGGAGCAGAAGCAGGAGCAGGAGCAGGAGCAGGAGGAGACGGAGGAGAAGGAAGAGGAGGAGGAGAAGGAAAGGGAAAAGGAGGCGGAGGAGGAGGACTGGAGGAGGACGACGAGGACGAGGACGAGGACGAGGACGAGGAGGAGGAGGAGAAGGAGCAGCAGGAGGAGGAGGAAGAGGAGGAGGAGGAGCGGGGAGGAAGAGGAGGAGGAGGAGCAGAAGCAGGAGCAGGAGCAGGAGCAGGAGCAGGAGGAGGAGGAGGAGGAGAAGGAAAGGGAAAAAAGGAGAAGGAAAGGGAAAAGGAGGAGAAGGAAAGGAAAGGGAAAAGGAAAGTGCAAACCCAAGGGTCATCAACGAAGTTGGGATGAACCCTCACTCCAAGATCCCGCTCCACAGGCTGCTACAACGGTTCATGTCCATTGAGGGAACTGCCTCGTTGAAAGACAACCTTTGAAGACCTTGAAGCATGCCAAAACCTTGTTCCCTGGATTTCCAAGCCACGGATCAACCTGACTGCTGCGTCCTGACGATCTGGAACCTCGCCCGAACGCCTTTCTGGGGACTGCAACACCGCGAATCAACATAACTGTTGCACCCGCATAACCCTGCACCAGTGCTGGTACGACGACGATGGGAATTCGTGAATCTCCTGCAAAATGTTAAAATGAATGTGCGCGGCGCTAACGCGAGAGCCACATTTGGAAAAGGAACCGCCCTCAATCCGTGAAACTCTTGCACATGTTTGAAACGAATGCGGGCGGCGCCAAGGTGGGAGCCACATGTTGATAACCACCCGCCCTCAATCCGTGAAACTCTTGCAATTTGTCCATACGAATGTGCGCGGCGCTAGGGCGAGAGCCACAAGTTTGAAAACGACCCGCCCTCAACCCGTCAAACTCTTGCAAATGTTTACAACGAGTGCGCGCGGCGCGAAGGCGAGAGCCACATGTTTAAAACCACCCGACCTCCATCTGTGAAGCTGTTGTATTTGTTTGCAACTTCAGAATCATAAATGGTGACGAAATCTCGGGCGAAACGCCTGGCCCGCCCTAAAAACTGGCCTCGGGGTGCGACAGGGAGAAATTTGTTTGTTTCAAAGTTCTTGTGTACAAAAGAAAAGAGAGAGAGAGGGAGAGAGAAAGAGAGAGAGAGAGAGAGAAACATTTCTAAATACATATATATATACATTAAAACAAACAAAAACAAAACAAAAACAAACAAACAAACAAACAAACAAACAAACAAACAAACAAAAAATGAGGAGGAGGAGGAGGAGGAGGAGGAGGAGGAGTAGAAGGCGGGGAAGGAAAAGGAAGAGGAGGAGGAGGACGACGAGAGGAGGAGGAGGAGGAGGAGGAGGAGCAGCAGTAGGAGGGGGAGGAGGAGAAGGAGGAGAAGGCGGGAGAGAAGGAGGACGAGGAGGAGGAGGAGGAGAAGGGGGAGGAGGAGAAGGAGGAGCAGGAGCAGGAGGAGAAGGAAAAGGAAGAGGGGGAGGAGGAGGAGCAGGAGGAGGAGGAGGAGGAGGAGGAGGAAGAGGAGGAGAAGGAGGAGGACGAGGAGGAGGAGCCGCCGCGCTTGTCCAGCGCGGGCCGCCCCCGCTCACGCGGCGTCCTCCGCGCGGGCGTACGCCAGCGGCTGCAATGCCGGGGGCGGCGGCACCAGGTGCTCGGGCCCCGGCCGAAGCCGGGCCGCGGCGAGGTCGGCGTCGGCGAGGCGCTCGCCGAGGGGAGGGGCCTCGCCCTGCAGGCGGGGCGCGAAGTAACGGGGGGCGATACATTGGGGGAGAGGAATCGGCGGCGAGCGAGGGAGGGAAATAAGAAGGAGAAGGCCTTCTCAGAAGGCGGCGGGACTTCTCAAAGCCAAGGCGCCTTCTGAGAAGTTTTTTGCTGTCGTCGGGGAAGGCTCAGAAAACTTGTCAGAAGGCCAGGGGACTTCTGGTACATACACAGACACTTTCCATATTTTCCGTATTTCCTCTGAATTCGAAGATGATTCAATCGCTTCGCTCATTCCGCCGGCCCATGTTGCATGAACGCTACTGCTTCGCCGTGGGCCCGGGGCCATTGTGGCGCCGCCGAGGAGGAATGATATGAGGATGGGGAAGGGGAGGGGAGGAGGAAGAGAGGATGAGAAGGAGAGGAGGAGGAGGAAGATAAGTAGGAGGAGGAGGAGGAGGAGGAAGAGGAATGGGCGGAGGAGGAAGCCTCTCGTTGGCATCTTGTGTTGCTCTTGGGGCCAAACAGGGTCGTCGTCAAGATGCTTCTTTGGGAGGCCTCTTGGGGTCTTTTGAGAAGCCGTTCGGGGGCGCCTGGGAGGCATTTTTGAAGCCTTCTGGGGGGCCTCCTGGGGCCTCATGGGGCCTCTTGGGGCGGAAGGCTCGAGGTTTCGGTTCGTGGTCCCCCTCTTGGGCCCTTCTTGGGGCCGTCTTGGGGCCGTCTTGGGCCGTCTTGGGCGCCTCTTGGGCCGTCTCGGGGCCCTCTTGGGCCCTCTTGGGGCCCTCTTGGAAGCCTCTTGGCCCGTCTTGGGGCGCTCTTGGGGGCCTCTTGGGCCGTCTTGGAGCATCGGAAAGCCGAAAATGCGACAAGGCCAAAATCCTTCCAAAACCATCGTAAAATTTATGATTTCGGCCTCTCGGGGCGCTCTTGTGAGGCCTCTTGGAGGCCACTTGGAGCGTCTTGGCGGCTTCTTGGGCCGTCTTGGGATCATCTTCGGCGTCTCGGAGCGTCCTTTGGGCGTCTCGGGGGCCTCTTGGGCAGTCTTGGGGGCCTCTTGGGGCCCTCTTGGCGCGCTCTGGAGGGCCTGAGAGGCCGTACCCAGGAGGAAAACCATCTCTGAGTAGACCTTCCCGGGACCTTCCCGGGACCTTCCCGGGCTGCGGTCGGGGTACTTTTCGCCAGGGGACCCCCAGGGGCCACCCCGCCCGCCCGAACTAGAAGAATTGTGAACCAGTTACCGGAGATCTTAGCACGCCTCTGGCCCGTTGGGCCGGCGAATTTGTGTCCGTGTGTTTTTCCCCTCCTGAGACTGGAATTAACGGGGGGGCGATCAATTGGGGGGGGGAGGTGCCCTCTCTCGGGCCCGAAAAGCCCTCCCTGGGGCCCTAGAGGGTCCACCCGTTCTGCTGCCCCTCCGTGCATTGCCACTCCATGAATTCCCGCCCAAGCAAAGCCTGCCAGTCGCCCGCCGGGAGCACGAGCTCTGTCCTCGAGGGACGCCACAGGGCGACGAGATCTATACTCATCCGCTGCTCCCTGGCCTGGCCCATCCTAAACCCAGTGGCTGTGTGTACGCCCTCCTAGCCAAGCCAGGAGGGAGTGGCGCATACAGCGCTGCTGGGTTCAGGATGGACCTGGCCAGGGAGCAGCGGATACGTAGACATGTCGCCGCTCTACGCCAACCGACCACCTCACCGCTACGCTTCCCTGGCCGACCCCGGAGGACCGAGTCCCCGATCCCAGGCCCAGCATGGGCCAGGCCATGATCGGTGAGGTGGTCCGTTGATGCCGCCCGGAATCCGCCTGCGCCCGCGGCTGCTTCCCGCGGACGGCTCCTGAGGAGGCCAAAAGTTACAGATACCGCTCCTCACAGGACCTCTCCTGGGGTGCGTTCTGACCAGGATTTCGGGGCGAATCCAGCGCCGGCGACGAGGGCCTCCAGGGAGGCCCAAAAAGGGGAAAACGGGCGAAGGGTAGAGGCATGGGGACCTGCTCCCCCTCCGAGCTCCAGGCTCTCGATCGGCTCCGCCGTGATGACGTAGCAGCAGCTGGACGCCTCCAGCGCCGGCGCCGCCCGTGCGAGCGAGGGCGCCGTCCGCAGCAGCTCGGGCGGCACCACCCGGTAGTCGAGCGGGCACGGCACACGCAGCAGCCGGTCGGCCACGAAGTACCAAAAGTAGTGGCACTCCGCAGCGCGCGGGAGGTCCCAGGCCTCGACCTGCTCCCTGAGGGGCAGAGTGACTTCGCCACGTGATGCGATGTCCCTTCCTCCTCCTCCTCCTCCTCCTCCTCCTCCTCCTCCTCCTCCTCCTACTCCTCCTCCTCCTCCTCCTCCTCCTCCTCCTCCTCCTCCTCTGCCTCCGCCTCCCCCTCCTCAGATTCGCATCACGTGGCGGATCCCAGTTGCCGACCTGAGGGGCACATGCCAAGTGCTCGAGACTGGCTCCAGAGTGAGGACGCCGACGCGGACGTCGCTGGACCAGCCGGCCCTCGACAGGCGGTTCAGCCATGCCACGGAGAGGACGACCCGCGTACCCGAGGCGAGCTCGGCGCATCTGAACTGGTACGTGCTGAGCTCCTCAAGGGACGCGGTGGCCAGCAGCCTCTCGACGTCGCGATGCCCCAGCAGCTCCGAGAGGGCGAAGGGCGCTGGAAGCCCGGACGCGTGCGCGCAGAACGCGGCGGACGCGGTCTCGATGCTTGCGCCCTCCCCTCTCTTGCGGTCGAAGACCATGAGCGCGCTGGGAACCGTTGGGCTGTCCTCGAAAATTGCCCGCACGAGCTCCGACAGCCATGGTGCCTCAGCATCGTCCAGCCGATCCCCGTCCGTCCTGGGCCATGGAATCTCAGCCCCACCAGCTCACCTACCCCGATGTGGGGATAGGCCCCGCGAAACTCAAAGGGAGCAGCATGTCTGTTTGTGTATACATGTACACATATATACACACAAACCTGGAGGAGGGTAAGCCGGCCAATGAGGCCAAGGCCATGGCAGTGGGGATAGGGATCGGCTAAACGATGCTCAGTGCCAGCTGCAAGATCGCGGAGCACCTGTGCAGCACGGGCTCCAGCGCAGCTCCAGAGGGATGCGCATCGCTGTGCGGACAAGACATCGCGCTGGCGTGGTCGAACGCCTCGGTCGCGTCCGCCTGGCGGAGCGCGGTGAGCGGCGCGTACTCTTCTCCCTGAACAATGAACGAGATGCCTACGAGCCGGCGTCCCTGAACGCAGCTGGACACGAAGCAAGTGGTACTCAGCTCCCCCAGGTCCTGCTGGAGCTTGAAGCTCAGCGTACAGTTCGGCGAGCCCTTCCCGGACGCCTGGCAATCTGCCTCCTGAGCGACCGTCTTGAGACGCTCGCTGTGCTCCTCGCTGGCGCAAAGCTCGAGCAAGCTCCTAGTGCTACCCTCAACCTGCGCGAACTTGTGGAACAAGAGACTCTGGTTGCGCAAGGGCTCCAGCAGTTGGAAGGAAGAGTCCACGATGAGCACCACATCGTGCGTGGCCAACATCGTCTGAATAGCACCAGTCATGCTTGTCAGAGTGCGTGTAAGGCGGGCCACCAGAATGGCGCCGAAACTCAACCCCTTGGCGCAGCAGTCCAGGGTACAATGCACGAACACCTGCTGCTTCCCGACTGTCATCCAACCCGCCACCCTGCAGAAGTGAGCTATCGGATACGCAGACCACAAGAGCAGGTGAAGATCTAGAACCCTGCGGCCAACCATGGCGGTCTCAGGCACTTGAGGGACCTGATACAACACCACGAACATCAGCACAAAGCAGCCAGAAGATGCGACAAGGGATAAGTTTGGAAACGGCGCGACACACACCAAGATGCCGAAGATCTGCATCGCCACACACAAAGCGTAGACGATCATCATCATGCAGTTGGATCTGTTTCCTGGGCACACAAAGCACAACTTGTAGATATACCACTCTATGGGCGTAGATATCAGCCAGTGGAAGTTCCGGCCAATTAGGTGCTCGCCACCGACACTGTCCTCGGTGACCACGAACAATGTCGTGGATGAGTATCCCGAACTGTAGAAAAGCATCCCTGTAGCACATACGAACAAGTGCGCCTGCAGGCACCGCTTGATGTCTGCGTTCCACTGGTATGTGGCGTCGAGTAGCCAATCGAGGATGCTAAGCAGGACGACCAGGCCGACGCTCAATGCGCCGAAAACTGCGGCAGCTACTAGCATCGGTGTCCTGACCTCAAGCAACCAGCCCGGCGACGCGATCGAAACGCGGGAAAGCACCACTGAGAAGCTGAGGCCGTCTCCTGCACCGCCAGGAAACATCCACGCCCACGGCCACTTAAGCCCTGTTTTGGATCCATGGGGAACGATGGACATGGACGCCTTCCCGCCCTCGGGGACGGGCAACTGCCCACCCCACCACTCCTCGAGAGGCCCTCGAAACCTCAGGGCGCGACGCTGGGGCGCTGGGGCGTGGACCTCGACCCCCCCCAAAAAAAAACATGTTAGCCACCGTGGACCCCAAACGGTGATTTTTCGCAACGAAGGTGGTGCAATCGATCTGGCGCAATGTGCGTGCGGCAACTCACTTGTGGAACTCGCACTTGTCAACTCCACTGCTCGCACCAAACTCCACCCACCCACCCGCAATGTGATTTGCAAAACACACGAGGCGGCGATTGCGATGAGTGCTTGGTGTTGGTTGGTGCATATCCCAGGCCGCGCTAGCCCGCGCATGGTCGCGGGCGCAGCGGCCAGCTAGTTTGGCGCGACCGACGCGGCCGCGGTGGCGCTGACCTGTGGGCACTTCCCAGCGGGCACTTCATTGCGAGTCGGCCACTTGGGCGGGCGCGGTATCATGGCAACGTCGACAACGGTAGACAATCATGATAGCAACGACGCTGGTGACGATGATGACAACGGCGACGGCACGGCCAATGACGGCGCCGATGCTGATCACGCCAAAAACGATGACGGCGTCCTCGCGTCGGTGATGAAGGTTTTGGAAGGAGTTCGACATACGCGCGCGGCCGACGCGCGAGTGGCCAGCATGGTGTTATTTGACACGGATCGCGCGCCCCCCCCCCAGCACGCACGCAAGGGCGTTCGAATGATGTTGACATGCGGCGCGAAAGGCCCGTTTGGCCGAATTGAATGACAACGGTGAGAAGCTGTAGCGCCGTTGGTTCGCAAGGGCACGAGCGCAATTGTTTGAAAACTGCCGTTGCCAAACCATTTGGTTTTACATATTTTCGGGGCACTCGCTTTCGAAATCCTTACGAAACCTCAAGTGTTTGAAGGATGTCGGCATGCGCGTGCGAGGACGCGCGCGCGCACTTCGTCCCAACTGTTGCGAAGGATTCTTGTGGCAGCACGCGCGCAATGGCGTTCGATCGATTTCGGCATGCGCGCGCGAGAGGCCCATTTAATAGCACGTTATCGATATTCTTTAAAACACCCCTAAAAAATATGGTGTACTCAAGGATTCGCAAGAGCGCGAGCGCAAGCATGCGTTGTAGATTCATGTTGCAAAACCGTTCTGTTTTCGGGGAACTCCATTTTGAAATCCTTGCGACACCGCCGGTTTGTGAAGAATTGCGGCATGCGCGCAACACGATGCGCGCGTGTGCATTTCGTACTATCTTTGCCAAGGGATGCATGACAACCCCGAAGTTTTGACAAACGAATGCGCGCGCGTAATGTTTGCTGCAAAAGATGGAGGCGGAACCGTTACCGGTTTAGTTGGGATGGTGCGAGTTCATGTCTAGGACGGCCGATGAAGCAGAACCATGTGTAAATTGCGATGCGAAGAAGTGAGCGATTAAGTCCGGAGGAAGTAATCCTAATATTATGTTGTAGAAAAGAGAATACAAATGGTGCCACCTACGTGGTGCACAACATTTTGAACACATGCGTTGACAAACTCCATGCCCTTGGGGAGAAAAAAAATCCACCCGCAACCTGGTTTGCAAAACCCATGCGGCGGCGACTGCGATGAGTGCTTGGAGTTGGCGGGTGCATCGCTGCGGCCGCGCTAGCCCGCGCATGCTCGCGCGCACAGCGGCCAGCTAGTTTGGCGCGACCGACGCGGGGGCGGTGGCGCTGACCTCTGGGCACTTCCCCGCGGGCATTTCATTGCGAGTCGGCCACTTGGGCGGGCGCGGTACCATGGCGAAGCCGACAACGGTAGACACGATTATGAAAGTAGCGATGGTGGTAGAGATGATGGCGATGACGACGCCAAGGCCAATGACGGCTCCGATGTTGATCACGCCCGCCGATAACGATGACGATGTCCTCGCGTGGGTGATGAAGCTGTTCTGAGAGTTCGATATGCGCGCGCGGCCGACGCGCGCGAGCGGTATTATTTTCAAACGGATCGTGCCCCTCCAGCACGCGCGCAAGGGCGTTCGACTGAGTTCGACATACGGCGCGCGAAAGGCCCCTTTGTGGCAGAATCGGATGAAACGTTGGAAACCGATGGCTGTCTGTTTTCAACAACAAAAAAAAAAACAAAAAAAAAAAAAAAAAAAAAAAAAAAAAAAAAAAAAAAAAAAAAAAAAAAAAAAAAAAAAAAAAAAAAAAAAAAAACCACGACCGCGAGCGCAGGATTTTCTTGAAAACTGATGTTGCAATACCACGTGTGCTTGTATATGTTTTCGGGGCACTCCTTACGAAACCGAGTGTTTGAAAGATTTCGGCATGCGCGCGCGACGACGTGCACGCATGTGCACTTCGTCCCATATGTTGTAAGTGATTCTTGCGACAGCAAGGGCGTTCTATCATTTTCGACATATGCACGGGCGCGAGAGGCTCATCTGGCAGCATGTTATGAAAATGTGTTTTTCCCAACCCTCCTGTGGTGTTGGGTCCTCGTTTTGAAGAGACAGCACCCCGCGTCTCCTCCTTCCTCCTCCCGCTGCCTCCTCCCCCTCCTCCTCCGCACACCCATTTCGGCACACCCCTCACACGCTTCGTGGCCCCATATGGGAGCTCCGCCGAAGGTCCCAGCGGGTGCGCCCGCATGCGTCCCGCACATGGCACACCCCTCACACGCTTCGCGGCCCCATGCGGAGCTCCGCCGAAGGTTCCAGTGGGTGTGCCCGCATGCGTCCCGCACACCCATGTCGGCACACCCCTCACACGCTTCGTGGCCCCATAGGGAGCCCCACCGAAGGTCCCAGCGGGTGTGCCCGCATGCGTCCCGCACACCCATTTCGGCACACACCTCACACGCTTCGTGGCCCCATGAGGAGCTCCACCGAAAGTCCCAGTGGGTGTGCCCGCATGCGTCCCGCATACCCATTTCGGCACACCCCTCACACGCTTCGTGGCCCCATAGGGAGCCCACCGAAGGTCCCAGTGGGTGTGCCCGCATGCATCCCGCACACCCATTTCGGCACACACACACACACACACACACACACACACACACACACACACACACCTCACACGTTTCGTGGCCCCATAGGGAGCTCCACCGAAGGCCCCAGCGGGCGTGCCCGCTTGCGTCCCGCGCACCCATTACGGCACACCCATCACACGCTTCGTGGCCCCATAGGGAGCTCCACCGAAGGTCCCAGTGGGTGTGCCCGCATGCGTCCCGCACACCCATTTCGGCACACCCTTCGCACGTTTCGTGGTCCCATAGGGAGCTCCACCGAAGGTCCCAGTGGGTGTGCCCGCATGCGTCCCGCACACCCATTTCGGCACACCCCTCACACGTTTCGTGGCCCCATACGGAGCTCCACCGAAGGTCCGAATGGGCGTGACCACATTCGTCCCGCACACCCATGTCGGCACACCCTTCACGCGTTTCGTGGCCCCACAGGGAGCTCCACCGAAGGTCCCGGTGGCGCAGTCCGCACGCGTCTCCCCCACCCAGCACACATCCGTCGGAGGCCGTCGGAGTTCCGCGCCTCGCTCGCCCGTCGTCGCTCTGCCCAGCGGCAAGAGCCTTGCCCGCTATCAGCCAGCCAGCTAGCTCTGTTTGCTGCGCGCAGCGGACGACCCGCGCGCGTCGCTGGGACCCCTCTGGGGCGACCTGCGCGCGTCGCTGGGACTCCGCGCTGCGCTGCGCCCGCAGCCTTCGCGGTGGGCGGGCGATGCTCGCGGTGGCGTCGCGGCGCGCGGGCGACGCCGTCGGGGAGTCCCGGGGAAGCTCCGTGCGGCGGCCACGCCCAGCGCCACGAGTACTCAGAGGCAGTCATTCTCAAACTGATGACATTCATATACACTTGCACCATGCTTTGTCATACTCGCATTCATGCACGTAGACTCGCTCGCACGCAGATTCATTCACAGTCAGACGCACTCGCGTTCAGATTCACCCGCGCTCAGTCTGCCTACGTACTCAGATCAATCGTGTTCGTTCGCGCTGTGTGCCACGCCACTCATTTCGGCACACCCCTAGCACGGTTCGTTGCCTCATAAGGATCACCACCGAAAAAGGGAATCACAATTGCGGTACTCACACCTGCATATGGTTGGGTCCTTCGTCAGGCCAATTGGGGGGTGTGAAAAAAAACAATGATTCACTCAAGAATTCGCAAGAGCGCGGGCGCAGGCTTTTTTGAAAACCCGTATTACGAAATCATGTGTTTCATTTGTTTTCGTGACTCCCGACTTTGAAATCCTGACGAAACCCAAAAAGTTGTTGAAGGATTTCGATATACGCGCGCGACGACGCGCGCGTGCACTTCGTCCCACTGTGCACAAGGGATTCTCGAAAACTAAGGAATTGTGATCAACAGGTGTGCGCACATAGAATGTGTTGCAAAGGATGTGGGGGGGTTCGAACTCCAGCCTGGCTGGGATGGTATGAATTTAGATTCAGGATGGACGATGGAGCAGAATCATACGCAACTTGCAATACGAAGAGGCGGCCTGTCAACCCCGGGGCGGGGGATCCTAATACTCCTTTGAAATAAAAGTACAAAACAACGCACAGCCAAGCAAAGCAATGCAAAGGAATACAAAGCAGAACAACTCGAAGCAATGCAAAGCAACACCAAGCCAAGCAATTCAAAGCAACGCAACGCACTGCAACGCAACGCGACGCAATGCAACGCAATGCAGAGCAATCGATGCAAAGCAGCGCCAAAAGTTCATGTTGATGGCGTTGTTTTCTTCGTCTAAGGACCGGAAAACAAGCATCGACGGCGTCTCTGACTACCTACCAGACCACCCAAACCCAACCCGAAGACCCGAATTTCGGGTTGAGGGAGGTCTGGGCTCCACATGTGGTTTTCCGACGTTCCTGGACCCCCCCCCCCACTGGAAATGGAAGACAAATTGAAGCCTTCGGGTTGAGTTGGGGTGGTTTGGTGTGGGACGCACAGAGACGTACTAATACTATACGTCCTCCTTGGAGGCGCGCGTCCGACCCGAACATGTCGTATACCCATCTTGTAGTATATCATTTCCCGAGCGGTGCGGTCAGAAAGCGCCCGCCACGACGCATATACTACAAGACTTCTCGGTGCGCGCGTCGCCCTTGGGGGAGCGACGCACACACAGTGTAAGTACGTTGGGGTGACGCCGATGGCGGGTGGTGAGTCTCTGGAGCGTCCGTGCCCCCCGGCGGTGGGGTCCTCCCGTCCCGACCGGCCCGTGCCACGGGCCCCGCGTGGCCCACGCGGCCGCGGCCGCCAGCGCCGCGAGCGGCGCCGCCGCGCCAGGCCCACGCCCGCACCGCGCGGCGGCCCTGCGCCGCGGGGCCCTTTGAGGCGAACCACCAGTCGGAGGGGGTCCACGCCCGCAGCGTCGGCAGAGGAGGAGGAGAGGAGGACGATGAGGAGGGGGAGAGGAGGGGGAGGAGGGGGAGGAGGAGGAGGAGGAGGAGGAGCAGGAGGAGGAGGAGGAGGAGGAGGAGGAGGACGAGGACGAGGACGACGACGACGACGACGACGAGGACGAAAACACGAAGGACGAGGACGAGGAGGAGGAGGAGGAGGAGGAGAAGGAGGGGGAGGAGGAGGAGGACAAGTGTAAACCCAAGACCCACTAATGAGATTGCAATGAACCCTCCCTCCGAATTCCCGAATCACAGGTCCCTACACTGATACATTCTCACTAAGGGAGTTGCCCCTTTGGAAGACAATCGTCTGAAAAAAACCTGAACCGTGTCAAAACACCATTCCTGGGACTGCAGCACCGCGAATCAACGTAACTGCTGCGCACTGACAGTCCTACATCATGCCAAAAAACCATCTGAGACGCCAACCATAAAAATCCTTGAAACTCCTGCGAACTTATAAAACGAATGCACGCGGAGCTAGAGCGAGAGCCACAATTTGACTAAGAACCGCCCTCCATCCGTGAACGTGGTACGAACTGTTAAAGGAATGTGCGCGGCACTAAGGCTACGGCCACACGTTGAAAAGAAACCGCCCTACATCCGTGAAACTCTCGCAAGCCTTGAACACCAAGTCAAAATCGAATATGCGCGACGCCACGGCGAGAACCACATTTTGAAGAACGGCCCGCCCTGCAGCCGTGGAACCGGTGCAAACGTTTAAAGCGTACGTGCGCGGCGCTGAGGCGAGAGCCAGATTTGAGAAGGAACCGCCCTCCATCGGAGAAGATCGTGCACATTCATAGGACGAACGCACGCGACACCAAAGCGAGTCACATTTTGAAAGCGGCCCGCCCTCCGTCCGTCGAACTCTTACAAGCTTTAAGACAGATGTGCGCGGCGCGAAGGCGAGAACCAAACTGCTGCAAATTTCAAACTCAAGGATCAGAAATGGTGAGAGATGCTCAGGCGAAACGCCCGGCCCGCCCTACCGGCACGTCTGAGGGTGCGACAGGAAGGAGCTATTCATAAGGACAAGGACTGGCGAGTACCAGGACGAGGGCGAGAAGGACGAGGACGAGAGGAGGACGAGGAGGAGGACGAGAGGAGCAGGAGGAGGAGGAGAAAGGAGGGAGGCGACGACGAGTGGGCAGGGTAGAAGAAGAGAAAGCGGGACATCCACAGGAAGGTGCGGAAAACACGATCCAGCGACTAACATAGAGAACGCTGAATCGGAAACGAGTCCCCTTTTCTGGCCCCAAAAGCACCCGGGGTTCACGAGAAGCGCTGGAGGAACAGCCCGTGGAAGGAGCCCGTGAAAAGCGAGCCCCTTCCGAACGCGGGCTGCTCCTCGTTTCAGCGTCTCGGCTGCACTGCCATCGCGCACGCGCTCCGCGCCATGCGATGCGAGACGCGCGGTCCGTGTTGGCGCCCTCGCGCCCCCAGGAGAAGAGCGACCCTCCAGACCCGAACGTCGAGGTTTTCGACCATGCTCGGGGCCCTTTGGGGGAGACCTCTCGGCGCCCCCGCCACGAGCTGGCTGTCCCCTCGAGGCCCTGGCCGGAGACCCAGAGTCCGGGGGACATTTTTGGGGGACCTTCGGGGGGAGGGGCATTTCGTCGCCACCGGCTCTGGCTTCCCCTCGAGATTTTCTGGCCAGCACGCACCCCGGGACAGGTCCGCGGGGGTCGATGCTCCCAGTCCCAGACCTCCCCCCACGTCGGGAGCAACGATCACGGCGCATAGCAAGCTGCTTTTTGCAGTTCTCGGCCTCTGCGGGCCCTCACAGGGCCCCGGGGCCGCAAAATGGCTCGGGACGGAGTGCTGGTCCTGCGGAGGGGGTCCAAGCCTGCAGGGGTCCACGTGGCAAAAAAGTCACGGCGTCGGAGGTCTGGGAAGCTGGGATGGAGGACGAGGCCGAGGGGGAAGACGGGCAGGGAGGAGGGCGGACGAGGGACGAAGGGGAGCGAGGAGGAGGGAGGAAGGAGGGATCAAGGAGGGAGGAAGGAGGGAGGAAGGAGGGACGAGGCATGACGAAGGCTGAGGCGGGAGGAGACCTGGGGTCCTGCCCCGGGTCCCGAGGGAGCGGTGGTCGTGGGCATCTTCCCGTCCTCGGGTGCGGGCGGGGGCCCACGCCCTGCCTCCGCCACCCCGTCGGGGTCCCGGGGCGCGACCCCGAGGCGGCGGGTGCGGACTTGCCCTGGCGGTGCACCTCCGCGGCGCGCGTCCGCCCGAGTCCTGGAGTACCTGCAGAACCCAGGCGAGCCCCCGGCAGCAGTCCTTCATCGCGCGGGGTGCCCAGGGAGAGCGCGGCGCACGAGGTGCCCCCCCGTCGGAGCGCCGTCGAGTGCAGACCGCGGCATGGACGCGAGCCAACGTGGCTGCTGACTCTCGTGGTGCGGTGGTGGTGCTCGAAAGCGCCCAGGGACACGCGGATGAATAGGCACGCGCCCGCGGATTCCCCCTATGTCTCTCCATGTCTTCTGGAGCCTCGTCTTCCCCTCCACTTCCCATGCTTTCCTGTACCTGTACATTTCCTCTAGATTGGGGGGCGGAAAGATACGGATACGTGTTGTCCCCGGACCTCTCTTGGGGTGCGTTCTGACCAGAATTTCGAGGCGAATCCAGCGGTGACAACGAGGATTCCCCAGGAGGACCAGGAAAGGCCGAAAACGAAGGGGGACAACACGTATCCGTATCTTTTTCCCCCCCGACTAGATGCCTCGGCATCGGCGATCGTTCGTCTCTGCGTGGTCTTGTTCCCTCCCGAGTGCTGCTGATGGTGCGCAGACGACGGCTCGGCGGCGGCCGCGGCAGGGGCGGGCCGCCCGCGCGGGGGGGGGGGGGGGGCTTCGCTCGCTCCTTGCCTTCGGCGGGGCTCCCCGGCGAAGGCGTGCACGGCCAACGCGTACGGCAGGTTCGCGTCGTGTCGACCCCGGCGTTGGTTTCTGACACCGCGGGGATCGTTCAACCTTCAACGATCGGCCGTTTCCGAAACGTCGAAATCGTTCCACATCGAACGAGTCTGGGTCGCCCGCGGCGTTCAAGGTTGAACGCCGCTGGCGGGGTCGCCGCCGGTCGACACGACACGAACCTACCGTAATGACAAGGATGCGCCTTCGCAGCCGATTTCCACGTCGCTTTCCACTCGTTCGTCTTATGGTTGCGGATGCCACGACAATGGACACTCTACCAATCCTATCATTGAATTGAACATGTGTTTCAAGTGTGTAAAACGTGTTCTATAAGTGTTTCAAGCATGCGTTTTACATATTAACAACATGTTTGAAACATGTTCTAGACAACTGGCAATTATTTGGCAGCATGCTTCCTCTCCATTAATCAACTTCCACAATATTACGGGGATGTCTCGAACGAAGGCTGTATCTTCAGCATGCACGGCTATCCATTCCCATCAGCATTGGGAGCGCCCTGGATCGGCGGCACTGGCCGGAGGCCACTACAATCAGGATGCGCGGTAAGGATGCAAGTGCGTTGAAAGGCCATGTCGGCACGTTGCGAGCGGGGCGCGGCCAGCGAAAGCGGCCAAGGAGGGGCCGGAAGGGAAGGATGCAGGGGTAGCCTTGAAGGTTGCTCATCCTTACTATGCGGGTTGACTGTAGTGCCCGTCCCTGGTCTATGCACCCCTTCTGCTTCCGCCGAGGTGGGCGGAGAGTGAGATTGCTGAGGGCAAGAAAGCCGTAAAATCTAGAGAGGAACAAACAACTCACAAAAAAAAAAACAACCCAAAACAAAAACAACCAAACCATCAACACAATAACACATACAACAGATAATGAATAATGACATCCAATATGGATCCCAAGCAAAATGTTCTAGCGTACCAGGTGATATCATATTTTTGGTGCATCGGCGATGCGGCGCGATCCTCCGACCTCATCTACTCGGACCCCATCTAGAAGGCTTAGTGTCCATCCCTCCCCTGAAGTTTGCCCCGACCGAGGCGGGCAGACGACCGCGGCACCTCGATGGTCCAGATCGCTCGATGACGGCTAAACATAAAAACTCCGAGGTCTGCGCGGATTTCTTGGATCCGCACTGGACCCCCCGAGCGCGCCGGGGGGCCCCAGCGCCGATCCGAGAAATCCGCGCAGACCTCCGAGTTATCATGTTTATGTCCTTGTTCGTGTCCCCTGAGCCTATCCCCTGAGCTATTCCCCCCTTTTAAGCCTGTCGCTGCCCCTGAGCCTATCCCCCTCCCCCCCCTGAGCCCATCCGCCCCCCCCCCCCCTGAGCCTGTCCCTCCCGCCCCCTGAGCCTATCCCTCTCCCTGAACCTATCCCCCCGAGCCTATCCCCACCCCCTGGGCCTATCCCCCCTGTCCCTCCCCTGACGCTGCCGCCGACCGAGGCGGGCCGGGCCTCAGGGTGACCTGGCCCCGGCGCGGCGGCCGGGGCCTCCCCGGCGCGGCCAGAGAGCCAGCCAGGGAGGCGGCCCAGGCGGGGTCCTCCTCGTGGCGGCCACAGGGAAGGGCGGAGGAGGAGAGGAGGAGGAGGAGGAGGAGGAGGAGGAGGAGGAGGAGGAGGAGGAGGAGGAGGAGGAGGAGGAGGAGGAGGAGGGGAGAAGAAGACGCTACTCAATCGGAAATCACCGCCAAGATCGAGGCCATGACCTCGACTTTCAAGCAGAATCGACACAGCATCGTGCACCGGGAGTCTGTGCCAATCGAGACACGGATGGCGCTGTGCCAGGGCATCCTGTTTGCACGGGGCTTGCATCAGGCTGGAACTTGGCTACAGCTATACGCCAGTGACATGACTCGCGAAAACACTGCTGCAATGAAAGGCAGCATGTTCCACTCTGGCCAAGACGGTGTCCGTGACCCCTCCCACGTTGCTGTTTCGTCACATGATGACTTCATAGACCCAGCCATAATGATATTGTACGTGAGGCGATGCTTGTTCAGCAGAGTTTGCTTGACTGGCCCGCCAGCGCTGTGCGATGTGCTCTCCCACACAGTAGGAAGTCGCTCATGGATGGCGGCTGTGGCCGAAGACCTCGACATGTTGTCTGAACGCGCCGCTGCTTTCTCGGAATTCGGGCGGAAAGCGGTCGCTGAGTGGGTCCCTGTCGTCGGCGACAACCCCAGACGATTCCCCTCGGCCGAGGTTGACGCTGAGTAGAAATGCTGAGGTTGTATGTACACGTGTAGCACGCGTAACAATTGGCGACCCGTGCCTTCACTGTGCATGGAGTGTGCAGGAAAATGCGTGCCTTCACTGAAACCGACCATTGCCCTGTATGCATGCAATGGTTCAGAACACGCACGCGTGTGATTATGCACTTCGAGGAGGAATCACCACGGTGCTGGCGAGTTGTGCTGGAGCGTTTCTGGCAGCTCCCCGATGACAGCGTGGCCGTCCGCGACGAACGAGGTGCCGAAGAGGCAAGAGCGCTCGGCCGCACTGGGCGGAGGCGGCACCATGCCGACACCAAGGTCACGCGCCTGGCAGGCCCGCTGATGAAGGAGGCGTTCGAAGCCGCCTTTGGCCACAAGCCCGTCCTCTCCACCCATCTCTCCAGAGCAGCCAGTCCCCCTCTTGAAGAGGTCTTGCACAGTGCCCGCCGGATGTAACGGCACGTGCACTTCAGGGCAGGGCTCCGAAGCGCCGGCTGCAAGCTCGTCGCCGACGCGCTGGCACCTCCTCGGATGCGTTCGACGAGTGCCTGTGGCAGGATGGTCAGACATGGCCGCTGCTGCCGTGTCCACCGGCACCATCGGCGACAACTGTAGGGGGCCACATGTGCACCCTACCCCTACCCCCCACGATTTCTGAGGGGCAGGGTGGGGTTCACTTCGCGCGGGAGCTCCCGAGCGAAGTGAACCCCACCCTCCCCCTCAGAAATCGTGGGGGGTAGGGGTAGGGTTCGCATGTGGCCCCCTAAACTGGCCCCCGGGAGCTGGGACGGCTCCTGGTGGGGGGGCCGGAAGGGCTGGGCCGCCGTGGCCCTTGAACTGCACGGCTTGGGAGGAGGAGGAGGAGGAGGAGGAGGAGGAGGAGGAGGAGGAGGAGGACGAGGACGAGGAGGAGGAGGAGGAGGAGGAGCACCTGTGGGCGGCGCCTCTGGTGCGTGATGAGGCGGGGCCGCCCTCGCCTCGCTGGCCGAGGCCGCGACTGGAAGCTCAGCGCGGCAAGAGGCTCACGGCCGTGTCTGGCGCAGCGCCAACTGCAGGAGCCAATGGAGGCGGCGGGGGAGGCACTCGCCATCGCTCGGACGTCCATTCCCTGTGTTTTTGTCGGTTTCGTGCGTGGTTTTTTTCGCCAAATGATCAAGGATGCTCCTCGATGGCCCTCGCCGAAGGAAAAATGCACACGTCCGAGCGATGCCAAGGGCATTGCTGCGGCGTGGCTCGGGCCCATGGGAGCCGCGCACGGAGCCCGCGCGCAAAATGACCCTTCGACGCCGACGCCGTCGGCCGCGAAACAGATCTGACGCACGTACTGTCCCATTCGCTCCTGCAGCTGCTGCTGGAGGGTCAGGACGGCCATCTGCCAAGCTTCCATTTTTGGGCGCGCATCCCCTCTAGCCGTAAAGAAAAACAACGTTGACCCTTGCCAAAGATAGGACAAGGAGGAGGAGGAGGAGGAGAAGGGGTATAGGGAGGGGGAGGGGGAGGGGCAGGGGGAGGGGGAGGAGGAGGGAGGAGGCAGAGAAGAACGAGGGGGAGAAGCTAACTTCTCCCCGTCTGGCATCTGGAAAAAGGACGCTCAGACCAGGGACCTCGCTGGCTGATTATGGCAGTAGTATCACGAACAAGAAACCGTTAGATCGGATCCAAAACATGTTCGAGCAAACCGGCCTGACGACAATCATACAATAAAAGCGATGGTGACTATATTCATGTGAGCCAATGCTTTAAATGGACCCTGATCTGTGAGATAAGGAGAACGGCCTCAATAATATGCGCACATGGAACGAATGATGCAAAATTCCTGCAAGTGATACACGGCGAGAAAATGACGATCCAGTCGGAAAAATAGAACGTGATAGTCACAGTGGACCAACATGATCTACATATCGATCTGAGTACAACTTAGGATGGATCTTGGTTCCCAGGAGTGGCCAGAAAGGTACCTTAACATCGGCAAACTCTGGAACCGATGCAACGTACAAAGTTTGGCCAGCTCAAACCACAGCACGCGGCCAAGTGCATCGGTGCCATGACCAACGCGAGGCTTACAGATCAGGCTGAGATATGGTCTGGAATGAACGAGGGCGATATGGCTAAGATAGCAGCAGCGCAGATGAAGGGGTATCGAGCAGCCGTAGGTGCAAATAGATACGTAGCACGGGTAGATAGGACGACGACCTAAGATTGTAATAACATACCGAGGCGACTCGGAAACTTCAGCGGGCTAACGTGCCCCGCGAGTGCTACTCGAGCTGACCGTGGCGGTTTATGATACCAATGGCAACTCAGGCAACAGGGCCTTCAAGGCGACCCTGAAGCGCCCTAAGGCGGCCAAAAGACGGCCCAGAAAGGCTCCCAAGATAGCTTCCGACGGCGTCAGACGGGCCAGGAACGACATAAGAGACGGCCGAAGAGGCCCCCAAGAAGCCCCCAAAGGCCCCCAAGTGGCCCAAGGAGGCCCCCAAGAGGCCTCCGAGAGGTGGGTCGGACGCATGCGGGCGGCGCCTCTGGGACCTTCGGTGGAGAGCCATATGAGGCCACGATCCTCGTGAGGGGTCTGCCGAAAAGGGTGGGTCGGACGCATGCGGGCAGCGCCACTGGGGCCTGCGGTGGAGCACCTTACGGGGCCACGAAACGTGTGAGGGGTGTGCGAGGATAATGACGATGATGATGACGATGGTGATGTTGATGACGCGCGGAGAGCAGAGGCAAGGGTTGGAGGAGGGAGGAGTGAGAGCGGAGGAGGAGAGGAGGAACGCGGGGCGCTGTCTCTTCAAAACAAGGACCCAACACCACAGGATGGTTTCGAAAAAAGCATTGTTGTTGAATATCAAACATTTCCGATACGCCAGGGTGCACCCAAGCGAGACTACGAAAGCTGAGCTGGGCAGCCTCCCAGAACCTGTGGAATATTAGGAATAAATGGGAGCAAAAAACACAAGGTGTTTCAGCTGCACGAAGAAACATGTCATAGTTGTCAGTTGCACTGTTTCGTTTCTGACGCGGGGGGGGAGAGAACGAGGAAGTGGAGAAGGAAGAGGAGGACAAAACGCAAGAGACGCAGGATGACGAGAAAAAATACGAAGCGGACGACGAGGAGGAGGAGGATAAAGAGTCGGAGCCCCCATGTATGATTTTGCCCGATGGAAGGTTTTCGCTGATGGACAAGGGAGTCTCCCGCAGGAGGAGGCAGCTTCTAAGATCCACGGCGTAGTGTTTGTCATTTGTGTTGCGGCATGGCACTCCAGCGAGATGCACTCACACGGCAGAAAGACGGCGGAGACGGGCTAGCGAAGCCGCTGAAGCTGCTGACGTTGGTGCCGTTCCTATTGCCAGTGCAACTGGAACACCTGCCCGTGGTGCCAGAGGTCGCCGCTCCCTGCGATCGCCCCGCGCGGGGGGCGAGGAAGGGCGCCTGCGAAAGGCCAGGCGCCTGGAGCAGGCCCGCGCTGGCACCTGCGGCGGGGTGTTTCGGCGCCGCCTGGCAGCGCCCCCCAATCGGAGCAGCGGGCGGGAGCCCCCAAGCCCCCAACGCTTTTGGAAGGGGCGAAAACCACCGGCCGCGGCCCCGCGACGAGGCCGCTTGTGAAGGAGGTGGGGAAATGAGGATGTTGAGTGGGCGGGGGCTGCCTTTCTGAGCCCCGCAGGGATTGTGCGTGATCGGTACACGCGCTACGCGGTGCGAACACCCCGCATCGATCCGGAGGCGACTGCGCAGCAGTACGGGGGGGCGGGGAAGGAGGGAGGAGGGAGGAGGGAGGGGAAGTGGGAAGAAAAGGAAGGGCGGAGGAGGAAGAGGAGGAGCAAGAGGGAGGAGGAGGAGGGAGAAAGGCAGGAGTCAGGAGGGGAAGCGCCCGCCAGGGCTCCTCGCTCGCGCGCGCCTTTGCGGCGAGCACCTGCCTCTGCCAAAGCCTGGTGTCCGAGAGCTCGGGGCTCCGGCCGACGTCCTCTTGGGCCTCGAGCTCCTTGGCCTGGAGTGAGAGCGGCGGAGAAAAAGAGGGAGCAGCAGCAGGACGGCGGACGGAGGGAGGGAGGGAAGGAGAGAGAAGGAGGAAATGGAATTGCGGGGCTGGTAGTGGTGATAGACATGGCGGCAGTGGAAGTAAGAAACGTCATTGTCCGCATCATATACTATTTGATATACGCGCGCACGTTTGAGCCGCGATGGCGGCGGCGGGCGCACAAGTATCCTATTCGAGCCAGGGCTACCTGGCAATGGAATGTGCCCCCCCCAAACGCTTTGGCCACAGAAGGGCACGCGCTGCGCCGCGCTGCACAACCGCGCCCAGCAGCCGGCTGCCTCGGGCAACTTACCCATGACTCGACAGCCTCAGCCCGAACGGTAACGCGGTGAACCCTCAAAAGCCAGACGTGCTCGCCCATGGCCAGCACATGCGCGTGATGCACTGCCTGTGGCCGAGGTCGCTCGATCTCGGCGGCACCTCGCAACGCGGAGAGCTCAGAGACGAGTTCCCCAAACCGCGCCCAGTGGCCAGTGGCACGCGGCAGCCAGGAACAAGACACTGGCCACTGGGGCACGGCGCAGACCGTGCCCAGAGTGCGCTCACGCCGCGGCAATATCCGCGCCTTCCAGCTAGGTTCGCTCTGTGGCTCTGCATCTTGCACATTGCCAACATAGCCGTCCGCCTTCGTAATATTTGGCGGGTGGGTGCTGGCGGGCGTAGCTGGCCGCGGCGGCGTCGTGCTGCTGCGCGGTTGGAGACCACGCGCCCGCCTGACTTCGCGGACCCCAAGACGTGGTTAATCCAGCGGTTAGCGGCAGGATGTCTCGAATTGCGGGTGCTTGCCAGTCTCCGCTGTTGACTAGTCGCCGCGCTGGCCTGGCGAATGCCGAGCGCCGAGCAGCACCAGCTCGGCGCGCGATGACTGGACGCAGCCAACAGCAGCGCAGCGCGTCGCAAGTGTCTACTTCAGCTGTTCTTAGATGTCCCAGCTTCGCTAGACTTCGAATGGTATAAATGCCGGCGGCCAGCACTGCATCCGACATCAAGCACCGACCACGGGCAGCACGGCGCGGCCAACGCGCCAAACCACAGCGATGCACAACAGCTGGTTTGCAATACCGCGGGCGGCAGCGCCGCGCCGACCCCTGAAGCGGCGCGCTAAAGCGCCGGCATCTCGCGGCGCAGGCGGCGCTGCAGCGCCAGCGCCGAGCACCCATGCGTCGCCCTCGTCGAGCACCTGACGAGTTGGGGCCGCCAGAGCACGGGGGTCGGCCAGGGGCTCGTCAACTTTGAATGGCGCAAGCGGTCTCGCGACTAAGATGACCACGCCGTTGCCCACTCTGCGCCAGCCTACTGAAAAAAGAGGAAGCTCTCGCAAGTGACGGGGGCTGGCCGGCCTCTGGCGGTAGCGAACAGGTTCTCGACGACCATCGCGTCGAACGCGGTCTGCGGCGCGCGCGCGGCCAGTCGCCCTCGCGGCGCCCGTCGCAGCGCAGCCAACGAGCGCCCTGCAGCCGGCACGTCTGACTCTGCCATGCCCCGCGCTCATCGACGCGCGGCGGCAGCTGTCAAGACGCACGCGCACTCACGTTGCACAACGCGCCCAAGAGAAGATGTTGCGCCAGGTGGGGCACAAGCATGTCCCATCGATCCGTTGCAAGCGCGGAGGGGCCCACGCTGCTTGCAGCCGGTGGAGCTGGCGCAACCAGCTGTCCTTTGCACCGGGACGCAGCGTCGCGCGAAACCACGACAACCGCGTCGCGCTGCGCGACGTGGCCAAGTTGACGGCGGCGAGCCTGATAGCTGACGTCAATCAAGAGTTCCGGGGCTCTCGGCGCGACCTCGCCGACGGTGCCCCGAGACAGGCACAGCCGCGCGCGTCGGCGCGCTAGCGCGCACCCGCCCGCGCGCAGGCGCTGTCGCGGCGGCGCACGGGCAACGCGCAAGCGGGCGCTGGGCAGAGCAGCGCCGCGCAGGATAGTCTCCAAGGCCTGGCACCACCGCGCTTTGGAGCCGCACTGGCGCGTCAGACCCATCCACGGCGGACTCGGAGGCTTCCGACTCGAGCCTAACAGCGACGTCCGCGACATGGCCCCCCTTCTTCACGAAAAGACCCCTTCGACAACAGCGCCGAGACGCTTCGCCGCCTGCACGTGCGACGCGAGCGGCGCAAGGCCCATCGAGTGGCACCGCCTGGCTAGCGGCCGCAGCGCGGTGATGGCGTCCGCGTGCATCAATTTCGCGGACGTCTGCATCTTCGAGCGGCATTTTGAAATCTGCATGAAGCTGCAGCTCTGCGTCGCGGGGCCGCAAGGCCCTCGCGGGCCTTCTCCGCCGCGGCGGCGAGATCCGAGAGGCCCTTACTCGCGGCGCCCTTCACGCACTCCTAGGCCCCAAGGATCTGTCTACGAGCCACTGCTAACGCAAACCCGCATCGCGCGAGCAGAGGCGAGCACGTTGCGGAACATCTCCTGGTCGGGCCTGCGGCTGCGCCACTGGGCGCCCACTCGGCGAACACACTGAAACCTGCAAAAGAATTTAAGGCCCGACGCCGTGGCGGCCGAAACAGGCGCTCCTCTCCGCCTCAGGGATGACGCAGTTGATCCGGCACGGCGGCGAGCACAGCTTAAAACGCCGCGCGTCACCAAAGAGAATCACACCATCAAAACGCGTCTAAATCACGCAACCCTCGGAGCAGGCGCGCCGCCGAAGAGATGGCGAAAGAGATGGGTGCAAACGAACGTCAGCAGCGCCCGATGGCGCGAGGTTCAACTTATTAGATGCGATCGGCGCGCCCTACCTGCGCCGCAGGCTCGCCAACACGCGGATCAGCACGGCGCACGAAATATCTTCTCGACGGCGTTGGCGCGGCGGACGTAGTCAGTCCAGTCGAGGCGGCCGTGGACACATCCACATCCGTTGGAATTGTCTTGGCCGTGGAAGACGCGCTGGTCGCCGACTATGCCTGGCGCGCGGTGGCCTGCGCTGCCAAGACGCCGGCTCGGGCCGCCGAAAATCGCCTCGGCGATCTTCTCATCCGACAGCGAAATAACGATTTCCAGCTGGCCCGTGGCGGCCGCCAGGACAGCGCGTGGGTCTTGGCCCGAAAGACCGCAGCGCGCTCGATCAGGAGCACGCAACTGCTGGCCCACTTGTCCCCATGGAAGGCATCCAGACAGAAGTCGTCGATGCCGACTTCACGCTTTGCTTGGTCTGCGCGCGCGCGCGCCGGCGCGCGGGCGCGCGCCGGGCAGCCCTGGCGCTCGAGGCCGCGCTGCGTGGCAGCACTGCGCCCAAGTGAGAAGCAATGGCGGCGCGGCGACGCGCGGCCCACTTCGCGGACGCGAGGCGCGCGACTCGCGCCAGGGCCGCGCGACGAGGGTTCGGCGCCAGATCCGCGCTGCCCGGATGGTCGCGGCCGACCGAGCGCAGTAGCACAATGGCGTCGTTTCAATTGTCCTGGCTGCGTGGCCGCTGGCCCTCGGGAAAGGCGTCGCTCCGGATTCGCGCGGAATCGGGGCCGGGCGCGACCTCCTCCGTCTGCCACGGGCCAGATTCTGGCCCGAGGGTTTCGCCCGCGCCCGCAGGACACGGCTTGCGCCTCGCCAGCTGCTCTCCCAAGGGACCCGAGATCGACTCGTTGACCCCCTATGGCGCGCTGTCCTGGCCACTGTTGGCGACGACGGTGGCGAGGCAGCCGGAGGGCCTGCGACGGCGGCCGCAGCGGCGCCGAGAATCGCGCAGCCCGCGATTCCCAGGAAGGTGGCGCGAAACGTCTGCGCATCGTCTGCACATGGATTGGAAAGCAAAGTCGCGCCCGACAGGAGCACCCCTCTGCCGACACGTGCCCGCGACACGATCCTGAAGGCAGCAGTCGCCATGGGATTCAAGCATGCGTTGTACTCCAGGTGCATGGTGCACTCCACGATCCGAGGCCAATCTATCTCTCCAATGCTACCCGCGCGGCCCGACTCAACGGGAGCTCGCGCGACTGGCGTGACTGAATGCCGTCACAATGCGTTGGATTACCGGGTTCCGCCCCTGTCGCCGCGCCCGTCGCTGCAGTAGTCGGCGCGGTCAGAGCCAATATCGCCGCCATTGTAGAAGTCCTGGTAGTGCCCGACGCGGTCGTCACTGATGCCGCCGTTGTCGCAGCGGTTCAATGGTCGAGCTGCACGGGCCGCCCACGCGCACGTACCAGCGTTCAGTGCAAGCGTGGTTGCTGGATGTGGCCGTTTATAGGCAGTGCACTGGCGTGGCCAGACATGGTAGGCCGCCACGATAGCGCACGCTGGCGGCCTGGCCTGGGCGTCCGCGCGCCTTCGGCGGCAGCGCCTCGGCGTCGCAGCGCCGCGCGCCCGCGCATTGCGCCGCGCCGCATGGCGCGGCGCAGCGGGCGCAGCGGCGCGCGGGGCGTTACCCATCGCGGCGGCGCGCTGCGTCGGCGAGCGCCGCGCGGCGCGCGGCGCGGCCATGCAGCGGCATCGCCGCGCGCAGGATCGCGGGCCACAACGCGGCGCCAGGCCAGACACCCCCTTACCGGGCCATGCCGCGCGGGGAGAGGCGCCAGATTGACCCGGGGCGTTTCCCGTGGTTTTGGCGGGCTGGAGTTCCTCGGTCAGCGCGCGTCGAAGCCGACCATCGCAGCGGCAGCGCCGCGCGCGAGCGCGAGCCGCGATGGCGGCCGACGGGCGCGCATGGTTCTGTTCGAACACTGGTAAAGTGTCGCGGGTGATGGTCGTGAATTCGTTGGTCTGCGGCGTCGCAGTCAAGGTAGCCGGCTTAATATTGCAACGATTATCGTGTGCATCTCGCCGGTCTCGTAGTAGTAGTGGTAGTGGTAGTGGTAGTGGTAGTGGTAGTGGTAGTGGTAGTGGTAGTGGTAGTGGTAGTGGTAGTGGTAGTGGTAGTGGTAGTGGTAGTGGTAGTGGTAGTGGTAGTGGTAGTGGTAGTGGTAGTGGTAGTGGTAGTGGTAGTGGTAGTGGTAGTGGTAGTGGTAGTGGTAG